CGGTGACCGGAGGCCGGAGAACGGTGGCCGGAGAGAGAAGAGAGGAGAGAGGAGAGTTTTAAAATACCAAAAATATCCTTGCATTAAGATTTTAATTTAAAATTACCAAATTTATAAATTTCCTAATTTATCTATTGATTTGTGGTTAATATTGGTTCTCACAGTTACCACAAACAACTCAGTTCTCCCTTGAATAGGCCCCTATATATATATATATATAATCTAATTATTATATGAACCACTATTTGGACCGCTTTACCATTGCGATAACTGCTATTTCAAATCACGGTCCTAACCACGATTTCATATTTTGACCGCTGTAACAGCATAGCTTGTAAGAAACTTTGCACAAAACCAGAATTAGAAGCCAAAATGAAGAGATTAGAGAAAGCATTAGCATGTAGAATTTCAGCTTCTTGCATAAGAAATACGACCTTAACGAGTTAAGAAACATAACAGAAAAAGAAAGGGTGAACAGAACTTGTAGCATAGAGATCCCGACATAACATCTAAAAATGTAAGAGCTTCTCTTTAACATCCACTTCCCAAACATTTCAGCAGGTCAAGAAGTACCCATTGCCTCTATCGATTTATTATTCGAGACAAATACTGACCTTTATAACAGCAGTGCTGTTACTGAGGATGTTGACCTAATTAATGCATAAATTATCACAGCATTAGTTCCATTGATAAAAAGTATATTCCCACTACATCTGCGTCATAATTAAACATTACATTTCTAGCTGCATAAAATCCAGAAATTAAACCAAATATTTAGTTTGGTTGCAATAACATCGTGATAATAAATCAGCAAATATTCTTAGGTGGAGGTCGTGCAGATGTGTAAGAAAATGAAAGAATGAACAAAGACCTTAGCATGAAGATTGCATCTAAAAATAAATGACTGATTTCTAGAATTCCAACTGAAAATTTGTTATATAGTGCCAAAATCACCAAAATACTTTTTGGCAGCAGATAATGGAATGAAGCAGAAATCATGACCTATTGTTTCACCTACTTTAAGAAACAGCCACTCTACATAATGCATCTGTTTCGTTTCACTGAATAACTAGAGCTGTTAACAAACTGACGCATGTAGCCATGTAAGCAAGTAGCATGCAGTACTATTATATCATGAATGTGAACACTTTCAACTTAAAATCAGCAAATCACCTAAATTCAAAGGAATATATACAGGCAAATTTCACCATCAAGCTCAACTTATACAAGTCAGCTTCTACATTTTCATCTCCACCTGATGGTCTAGGGGCAAAACAGCTCTTATATTCTTCCCCGCTAAATCCCATCTATAGTTACCAAGTAGATCATCCATACATGAATCTTCATCCATCCTCTTCTTCCAATTAAAATTCAATTTTCCACTGCCAAGAAAACGTTTATTACTAGTTGGCTTTCTACTTCACATGTCAGAAAATAGTTATAGCAGGTAAGTTTAATGTTAGCACGTCTAATTCATCCACAATCCTACTCTTAATCAAGCATGCAGAAACAAGTTCAATGGCCCAAGAAAAATCATGCCCTTCTAATGAAGCAAGTAGTGAAACATGATGCTCAAAGGAAATATATTCCAAGTTACTAACCTAACATTACAGAAATGAAATATATGAACAAATTGAAACTTTGTTAATTTTGACAAAAGAATTAGTAAAATCCTCAAGCCTACAAGTAACAGTTAGTATATAACTTGAGAGAATTCGTTTATCAGATGGAAACGGAAGAGTACAAGAAGAAACTTTTAGGAACGTAGGTCGTAGGACACTTCATTACGAACTTGAGCAAGAAGTATAAGAAATTAGGTACTACCACCAGCAGTCTGAAGCAAGTCAAAAGACCCAAATATTCCAAATCTATTGTTTGTCAGTGATTGGAATGTTTCTTCACTGGACCTCAAAAAAGTCGCACCCATCATGTATTGTTAAACATGTCTTAAATAACCCACATGGGTGAAAAGCCATGTGTAACACGACTATGGAGAGAAATTCATGGTGTGGACCTGTCAGTGGTAAATGATTTGAGCAGTTCGAATGAAGAGAAGTAAGGTGAAAAATCTTTACTAGCAATCCAAAATAAAAGGGTAGCCCAGAAGTGAGATGAAAAATATCAATCAACAGATGCAAACAAAACAGATTTTAAGGAGGTACTAAGGCTGTTGTATGAATCTTGTAAAGAGACTAGCTAAAAGGTATGAGACAAATAGCCAGGAAGAATAATATAGCCAAAAACTGAAGTAAACTTACGGAGCCATCCAGCGGTAGGTCCCTGTCTCGGGGGTCATTCCTTCGGTCTGCACCTCAATTCGAGCAACTCCGAAGTCGGCAATCTTAATTGATTTGTCAGCCGAAATTAGAAGGTTGTCCGACTTCAAATCCCTATGAATTAATCCAAGTCCATGCACATATTCCATTCCCTTTGCAACATCCAACGCCTGCTTCACTGCCAATTTCAAAGGCACTGATCTGTTCTGCCGCTTGGTCAAAAACTGCCGAACAGAACCTCCTTTGGCATATTCAGTCACAATACACCATACCATGGGTTTACGGCATGCACCAATGAATCGAACTATGTTTTGATGCTTTAATCTTGCAAGCATCATAACCTCCTGCTGGAATTGTTGCTCCATGAGGTGTGCCCTATCTAAGTCATTTTCTGGCTTTTCCAAAAGCTTGATAGCAACATCCTCACCATTGTAAGTACCTTTATAGAGCTTCCCAAATGCACCTTGTGCAAAAGCAGATCCCATGCTAAGTTTCCTCAGATCGATGGTCCACTCATCAAAATTCTCAAGCCCCTCTGTTGGGAAACGAGCATCTAATAGAGCTCTAGCCAAAGCATCATCACTTAAGCCCTGAGAGACTCTTCCTCTATTCACACTATGGGCATCTGTATAATTATTTTTGACACGTTTCAAACCTTGGTGATTTAAGATGCGAGTGTGTGAGTCGTTAGACCCGACACTACTATTGTCAAGAGACATCGCAACTGACCCACCACCGTTGCTCATCTGCAAACTATTAAAGCTGTCTATAGACATGTTGGACCCCTCACCAAGCTTATGGTAGAACACTTGTGACAGGTCAACAAAATTATCATTGCCGTTGTTTACGCCCATAATACCTGGAAACTTTGGACCCTCCAACATTTTCAATCTGATACAGCAGAACCACCTTCAAACTCTCCTTACCCCTTCATCGATAGTGAACTGTCAGGCTCAAACCCCTCAACCAAAAGCCTGCATTAAAAGCACTCCAGAAATTTATTTCATACTAGTGGCAATCAATCGCAGACCTTTTCACCATGTGAATGATAATATATTCTGCCATCAAAGCTAAAGTAGCATACAAGTGCCTCAATCAGCCAATACCATTTCCTACCAAAAATACAGAGTCCTATTGCTAATCATTTCATTCATAGACACAAATTGCTTTTCAACATAGCTGATACAGATGATAATTCGTTCATAAACAGACAATGCTATTCTTCAAAGCTCAGATAGCTGAAAAATCAAGAGTGAGTTTCAACTTATAAAGATTTAAAGAAATAATTTCCACAACAGTTAAACCCTAATTATCATTCCTACTAACCCTAACCCTTAATCCCCAAAAATAGTTGATCTTCTACAAGTCCGTCACAACATCAAGCAATTCTAGAAAACGCCAAATCCCCAAACAAATACACCAAAATTGTATTTCACCCCCAAGACGACCTAAAAAGAAACAGAATACTTGAACAGCATAAAAACCCATGAAAATCAGTAAACTTTACCAGTCAAATTAGACTAAACTTACAAGTAGTAAGCTTAAAACTCCAAATTAAACAGTGATCCATGAACACAAGGGAACATATGATACAAAAAAGGAAAGAACTTACGGATGATCAAGAGGGTTTGGTTTGGTTGGTTTTCTTCTTTTTCACTTGGCGACTGCAGTGTTGATTACAGAACTGTAAAGAGACGATTGGGAGAACGAGTTAGAGATTACTATGAGATCAAATATCGTTATTCGGATAGTTGCTGTTGTCGGGTTCGACGCCGACGAAAACACGGTGAGTCTCTAGAGAGAGAAAGTGATGTGTGAGAGAGAAGACGAGTAAAGAAAGAGAGACAAGAACTGGTCTTCCCTCAGTTTTCGCATTTTCTTTTCATTTAATTTATAAAAAACATGCAAATAAAATAAATTCTTAATTAATTTTTTTAAGAGAAAACTACAAGAATGGTCCTCTGGCATGTTTAAATTTTTTGAAAGGGGTCCCTAAACTTCAAAAAGTACAAGAATGACCACTAAATTATTCATTTTAGTTGAAATGACAAAAATGACCTTCTAACTAGTGACACTTTGACTAATGGAGTCAGCACTCAAGAGCACTTATCAACTTATTATAAGTCAGAAGGGTTTAACTTCTTTAAAAACTCTTTATTACCGATTTAACACTGGTATAAGTTATTTATCCAAACACTTAAAAGTGTTTATTACCGGTACCTACCGGAACAAGTCAATAAGTTGTTTTTATAAGCAATCTCAAACACCCCCTAAGAGTTTTACAACAACATCCATTTTTTCCTCTCTTTTTTTATCGTCTTCAGCAACCTTACTTCTTATCTCTCTTCCCTTTGACCATTAGCCTCCGTTTTAGGCATTTTTGAGCAAGACTCGTCTACAAAAATATCGACTACCTCCTCTATTCTTTTGTGTTGCAGGTTGCTATCACAACCAACATGAATGCAATTCAACCTCTATAACCTAAAGCTAAAAAATTGAGAATTCGAAGAACACATTTCAGCGATTACGAGCTTGAATAACTCCATAGAAACCTTTAGCAAAGACCTACAAAATATGTCCGTGATCGTAATATAGTAAAGATATTATTTAAACATAATCACATGTAGTTATATTCGTGATCGTAATTTTAAAAAGCTGGTTGAAATATTGAAAAAAAAATACCGATTCGAGTATCAAATTAAAGACAGTAAAATACTAGGTTTTTAATATGATTTCAAAATAGTTTATACATTAAAAATAATATAAACCTATGGAGCTTATTAGTTGATTATTGGGTTGTTTTATTTAGTGCAAACATTCAGTTTTAATAAGTTATATGTATGCTATAACAACTTGTAACCTTAATTTTAAGATTTTTGCGTTAATAAGTGGTATATAATTATTAATAGTCGCTGATTACAAATTTCGCCCTTGCGGTTTCATGAAAATTCTAAACTAAGTCCTTAACCCTAAAAAAATTATAACTAGGATCCTCATGTTTCATTTTCGTTATGGATCATGCCTCCTACCCTAATTTTAAAGTTCCTTAAAATTCAAATGATATTTTTAACCATTAACTAAAAAATCATTTTAAAATACCCAATTGAATTAGTGTTACATGTCTCCGGCCTACCCCTTCTTCAGTGAACTTCATGGGCTCTCCTCTTTTAGTTATTTTTCCCGACCAACACACACATGCATACATATACATACATACATACATACACACATCAATTCAACCCAAGTCCAGCCATAATCACCAAAATTCAAAATCAATAATAACATTAACATCAAAAACACTAGCAACTTTAAGAACATCAATTAAGCATGGCAACGAAGCAGGGAAAGCAATCTCTAGCCTTGGTTCTACTACCTCATCCCCATCCCTGACCCCGCTCCTTAGCAAGTAGAGAGAGAACATGGTTTTGTCTATTAGTTATTTGAGCTAGGCATCAAGCTTGTGCAATTTTGATCCACCGATTCGCATATGTCCAGAAAATGATTAGCCAATCTAATGTGGACAAAGTGCATTCGGCTAGCCCTCCCATGATCGGTTGAAGTGTTGGGTATAAAGAAAGATCCATTTCGTCTAAAGGATGATGACGAAGAGGTATCGGGAGATGAAAATCTCTATGTAAGTACAATAATGTATCTGTTGTACTTAGCGTGATACACTCAACCATATATTGCATGCTCAATGAATTTGCTAGCTAGATTTAGCTCAATGCCAAAACAATGTCATTAAAATTGTATCAAGAATATCTTTAGATACCTAAAAGAAACCATGACTCGTGGGGGCTTATTCTTTTGCTACAGAGGGAAAATATTTTTGATAATGGATCTTCAATACTTACAAATGATGTAAGCGAGAAAGTATCAATCCTTGTACAAAATACCAAACAACGTGGTAGATTTTGTTGATATTTGATATCCCTCTGACTCATACAAATGTTGTCCCCAAACTAGATAAGGAATTTCTATGGAGAACACAACGATTGTTTTGAATTCAACCACACAAATCCTTATAGTTACCTCCTCGAACCATTTTGAGATTATTGCTCTACATGAGACAATTTCGAGAGTGTATATATTTCAAGACTATCATTACACATGTTAGAGGAGCGAGTGGTTTAAGTTTTACCACTAAAACCCTTACACGCATATATGAATATTATGCAACTAGTATCGAACAAATGAAAGTAGGATATATCAAGGGTGATAACGTAAATCATATTTTGCCAAAGTTTTGTGCAATCGACAACAATAAACTCGTCTCAAGATTCAAGTGAATACAAGTAAGATCTGGGGAGAATGTATTTGTTTTTCCAAATCATCACCTAAGGCTACATTTGAGAAACATGTGGAAATCATTGAAATATGAAGTCTATATAAGCTCTATTGATTGATATACGAATCAAGGGGATTAATAGACAAAAGGAAGTGTCTACTTAAACATGTACTATTGGTGGGTTTTGTTTTTTCTTTCCTTTGCCCAAAGTTTTATTTTTCTTACTGGGTTTTGTTCCTTGGTGTAAGGTTTTAGTGAGACAACAATTTATACATCATCTTGTTTTCTAAACCGCTTGATTGATGTACGTATCAAGAAAAATAGTAAACTAAATGAATTGTTTAGTACTACCTTGTACTATTTCTTCCGTCCAAAGTTTTTATTTTTTTGTCACAAGGTTTTGTATCTTTGACATGAGGTTTTAATGATGCAAGAATTATGCACCATCACTCATTTGACTAGGCATAAGGAAGAGTATTGAAGGATTATGTGTCATCATCGAAATGAAGTGATTGAAAGAATACTTTCCAAGTATTAGAATTTACTATATATGAATGTTCCTTTTCATTATAAACTCATCCATATATTAAAGGACTTATGGTTAATAAAAATTACAGATTTATTTTCTCTATATACTATTGTTTAATTTCGTTTTTCCTACAACACTTGCTTTTTTATTAATTGATCATTACAAAATAAATGTTAGCATATTTTAAAACATTATACATATAAATCCTATGAAATTCGGTGAAGTACCAACTACACCCCATGTGATTTCAAAATCCTATGTATATGAGATTTTAATTAAATCTCATGATTTTAAATCTAGGAAATCCTTCAAATCAAACATGAGATTGAAAACGGAATTCAATGCCAGATCCCTCAAAATCTAATTCAATCATACAAACCAAACGGAACCTAGGTTGTTTTTAATTTTTTGTTATGTTTTTTAATTGGACCCTTACCTTAACGGAATCAAAAAGATTTTGTTAACCAATTAGTTATTTTGGTCTTTTTACTCCTATGTCTTAATGCTATAAAAAAAAGTAAAACCATATTATTAATATTATATAGGGAAAAGTACAATAAAAACCAATGGACTTTCTTGTTTGGAATGATTAAGTCCTTGGACTTTTTTTTGGAACAAATAAGTCCTTGGACTTTTTTTTGGAACAAATAAGTCCTTGGACATTCCAAAACATGTTAAATAAGTCATTGGACAATTTTTTGGAACAAATAAGTCCTTGGACATTCCAAAATATGTTAAATAAGTCCTTAGACAATTTTTGGAACAAATAAGTCATTGGACATTCCAAAAAATGTTAAATAACTTCTTGGACAATTTTTGGAACAAATAAGTCCTTAAACAATCCAAAACATGTTAAATAACTTCTTGAACTTTTATAAAACATGTTGGATACATTCTTATGGCTTGTACAACTAGTTAAAGTGGTAAAATAGTGGAAAAAATCCGGAAAAAACCCAATGAACATTCATATTTTGAACGATAAAGTGGTAAAATAGTGAAAAAAATCCGGAAATATATTTTGTCAGTGATTTTTTAAACTAAAAAAATAAAAAAAAATATAAAATATATTATTTTTAATTAAAATAAATTTCACCAGTAATCTTTTTAAATCTTTTTTTAATTTAAAAAATCACATACATGATATATATATTTTTAATTAAAATAAATTTAATAATAATTATTTTTTTGTTTGAAAAATCACTGACATAATATATTATAATTTTAATTAAAATAAACTTTATCAAAAATCTTTTTTTAAATGTAATTATTTTTTTGTAAATGTAAATACTTTTTTGTTATATTTGTTTAATTTTATAGATCTAAATACTTTTTGGTTCAAAAAATATTTAGGGGCTTAATCGTTCAAAATATGAATGTTCATTGAGTTTTTTTCCGGATTTTTTTCACTATTTTACCACTTTAACTAGTTGTACAAGTCATAAGAATGTATCCAACATGTTTTATAAAAGTTCAAGAAGTTATTTAACATGTTTTGGATTGTTCAAGGACTTATTTGTTCCAAAAATTGTCCAATGACTTCTTTAACATTTTTTGGAATGTCCAAGGACTTATTTGTTCCAAAAATTGTCCAAGGACTTATTTAACATTTTTTGAAATGTCCAAGGACTTATTTGTTCCAAAAATTGTCCAAGGACTTATTTAACATATTTTGGAATGTTCAATGACTTATTTGTTCCAAAAAATTGTCCAATGACTTATTTAATATGTTTTGGAATGTCCAATGACCTATTTATTCCAAAAAAAAGTCTAAGGACTTAATCATTCCAAACAAGAAAGTCCATTGATTTTTATTGTACTTTTCCCTATTATATATTATATTATTTATAGAGTAAAATAAACTTTTGGTCCATGTGCTTGTCGCTCACTATCAAATTTGCGGATGGAAACGAGGTGGGTATTGGACGGTTAATGCATTCCCCCTCCCCGCCCTGACCAATTCCCTATAAGTTTGAGGGGAAGGAATCCCCAGCAGTTCAGGGAATCCGTTGGGTATCTGTTAAGTAAAAAACAATGTATTTT